GGTAAACAATGCATACGTGGGTGTGTGTGCAGCCCCGTAGCACGCAAGTGGCCGAATTGAGGCCTATCACATCATCTTCAGCCTCTTGAACCTGGGAATATCTGCCTCCAATGCTGTTACTGTTGCCTGATGTCAAGCGAGTCATTGACTCATGCCATGACGCCCTCGTTGCCAGAGTATGCGCTGAAGCAAAATAGAAACAGCAGCCGTGATAAGACTAAAATCCCAATGTCAAACGCCTGTCCAGGATATGCAGCACGTCGAAAAGATGGCACTGTCATCGCATAGAAGACCCTACATGTTATTCTCTTATAGATATACCCGCGATTAACCGAACTTTTTGTGATTTTTGGTTAGAGCAATTATGAAGAAGCCGCCGGTCGTCTTCGAAGCACATTACAGTCATTGTCCAGGAGGCTGCCAAGGCACTGGGCAAGGTGGTCAGCGTCGGCGTCCGTTCACTTCAATGTCTGTCATCCCCAATCTAGGATGATGCTAATATGTGTATTTTTGTTAATTTTCTATAGACATAGATGAAAAATTATACAAGTTATGCTGATGGCCACCGCGCCGTTAAAGCCATTTTTGGGCGCCGGGATGTTCAACTCTTGCCGAGCTTCTCCTCTGAGGTGGCCTTCCTTTGGCAGCAAGAACAATACCACCGTATGCCGCCAGGGTCTTTCAGCAGGAGACTATACAAGCAGGGATCGCCGCGCCACTGGCTGCGATCTCATATCGTCTTGCTGTCCATTGGGCGCACCTGTCGTCACAATAACTTGCAGTTTAGACAAGCCTACACGGTGGACTAGATAGCACATGGTCGAGAACGACCCCAGAGACCCCCATGGATTCATGTTACTCCTGAACAAAGGCAGTGTCAAAACCGGCCATATCTTCAGTGAGCCACATATGTCGAGACCAGGCTGTCTCTCTACCAAATTTGATGCAGTCGTTGCAGCAGCCAGGGGTTCGACCCCGCTCCTGCCAGCCTGGTTTTGTGAATAAGATACCCAATCACGACAGCGATGCTCTCGGCTCTGGTATGCTTGTATCAGCATGTATGGTACAAAACCAGTGTTATGCGGTTGCAGGTGAATTGGTGCGTTGCATTTGACGCATTTGACGTGTTCTGCCTCTCCAAGCTGAAGTCATCGCCCTTACGCCCATTTCAACCTAACAAACCCATCATATACTTGTCAAATTGGCGATGTCCCAGCACGGAACACCCAGTGTCCGCCGGATTGGGTTCACGCAGCTCGCTCGCGATGATCTTCCGCGAAATGAGCCGCCTAAAGTCAAGTAGGACGGACGAAATTACCGTCTGGTAGTCATCTTACTAATTCATGATTGCAGTATTGTGTTTGTGCATGGTCTAAGGGGCCACCCACAAAAGACGTGGGAAAGCGATCGAACGGAGTCGGAGGAAGAACCGGGCACATCATTAAGCAAACGATCCTTTTTCGCGAGATTGAGAACTCGTCGACATGGCACGTCGTCCAGCGCTAAAGAAAATAGCAGCGAGGACAATGAGAACTCTCCAACAAAGCAGAAAGTATTCTGGCCGCAGGATTTCCTTCTTCAAGATATTCCCGAAGCTGCTATATGGACATACGGTTATAATGCAGATGTCATCGGAGGCCTATTTCAGGCCAATAATCCGAACAGCATATCGCATCATGGCACAGACCTCGCCGTAAAATTGGAACGAGAGATCACAAATCAAGTGAGTCCTTACTCTTGAAACAACATTAATGCCTCTAATGGATTATATCAGATGCCGATTATCTTCGTGGCACACAGCCTCGGGGGAATCATTGTCAAAGATGTATGCGTTCGTTGTCTCTTCTTAAAAAAGAAAAGCCTCTACAAACCGAGTTATAGTTACTCATGTGGCAAAGGCAATCCGTCGGTGCAGGCAACCCTTCTGGTTACGCGCGAAGATGATAGTCTTCCTCGGTACACCCCACAGAGGTAGTGGGCATGCTGAATGGGGTAAAATTGCTTCAAACCTCGCCGCCCTTGCCTTACAGGACACGAATAAATCAATCCTCCGAGGTCTAGAGGTAAACAGCGAGGTTCTAGAGAATATTCAAGGGGAGTTCTTGAACATAGCAGATAGTGCTCGCATCAAGGTCCATTCCTTCAGAGAAGCGAGGGCCCTAACGGGAGTGAAGGGGGTAAACGGAAAAGTAAGATTCCATCAGCAATCCATTTAATCAGGGTCGAACTCACCGCCACTCATTAACGCAACTCTTTTACTAGATAGTAGAGGATTTCTCTTCAACAGTTGGTTTACCACAGCAATTGGAAATGACCGAAAGCATCGATGCAAATCATATGCAGATGGCGAGGTGCAGGGACAAGACGGATCCACGATACCAAGCAATCTCCGGAGTGCTTACGCAATTTATCCGTTCTGATATACTGGTAACGAGGAGATTATAACTCAAGACCCTGTCACAGCTACTCGAATAGGGGCACAGGGAGGTCACTCCGCAGTCGAGCTGGAAGCAAGCCAACGTAGTTAGTATAATTTTATTCTCAATAGATGCTGTGCTCGCTGATATGCTCTAGTTCCTGTTAATGAATCATATCATTACCTCTTGCCTCCCCAAAACAGAAAGTTCACTGGGCGAGATGCTATCCTCAGCACTCTTAAAGACAGATTATTTGTGATGAGAGAGTGCCAGAAGCTCGCGGTATTTGGCCTCGGGGGCGTGGGTAAGACCCAAGTAGCGCTTGAATTTGCGTACTGGGTTAAAGAAACCCAGAAACAATATTCCGTCTTCTGGGTGCCAGCATTGAGCTACGAAACATTCGAGCAAGCCTATGCTGACATAGCTAGGCAGCTCAATATGCAGTCTCATCGCGACGAAGATATCAAAGAGTCCGTCCGGCGATACCTCGAATCCGACAGATCTGGGAAGTGGTTAATGATTGTGGACAACGCTGATGACATGGAAATTGTATACCAGTCGACCGGCAAATATGAGGGCATAGATAGGCACTTACCAAGAAGCAAGAACGGCTTGACTTTATTTACTACACGGTCAAGAGAAGTAGCGGATGCAGTAGCAGGAACCGGCGTCGTTGACTTACACGAGATGAGTATAGAAGAAGCGACGGTGTTTCTAAGCAAAAGTCTGGTCAGAAAGGAATTGCTTCAGGACAAGTCGACAATCGAGGAGTTGCTGCACGAACTCGTTTATCTTCCGTTGGCTATCGCGCAAGCTGCTGCCTACCTCAATAGAAAACAGACACCGATTAAAAAGTACCTTGCGCTCTTGAAGGGGACGGAACAGGACTTGGTCACCTTAATGAGTCAAAAGTTCCATGATGACACGCGATATCACGAGTCGCAGAATGCGGTTGCAATGACTTGGCTGGTCTCCTTCGATCAAATTCGACGCGACAATAGCAACGCCGCGGAACTTCTGTCATTCATATCCTACATCGAACCAAAAGCAATACCTCAATCGATCCTGCCAGGTCTGCCAGTAGAAGCAGAAATGGACGCCGCTATTGGCACGCTCTGCGAATATGCATTTTTGGTCCGCCGAGGAGACGATGATATGTTTGACATGCATCGTCTTGTGCATGTAGCTACCCGAGTATGGCTACAGCAAAACGACGATGCCGTCACAAAGGCTACAGCTAGTGCTATCCATCACCTGTGGTCGATTTTCCCGTCCGAAGACCCAGAGAATAGGTTTATATGGAGAGAATACTTGCCTCACGCGCAGCACGCCTTACGAGTCTGTCAGGAATATCAAGATGAGGAAAAATTTGATCTATGCTCTGGTATAGGTTGCTGCTTATTAGAAGATCGACGATTCGAAGAAGCTATAATAGCTTTGGAAGAAACATATCAATGGAGAAAAACACTAGCCGAAGATGACTCTAATCGACTTGCTTCTGAATACAATCTCGCTACGGCTTACCGTCGATCCCAACGGATCGAAGAAGCGCTCGAGCTGATCGAGAACGTTGTGACTATCCAAAGGAAAACGCTCGCAGAAGATCACCACGATCGACTTGTTTACGAACACGAGCTCGCTAGGGTTTATCTTAGCGCCGGACGAATCGGAGAATCTATTAAGCTGCTCAAAAACATTGTGAATATCGAAAAGAAAACGCTAGCAGAAGATTCTCACAGTCGAATTGCCTCTCAGCACGAACTCGCTAGAGCTTATCTTGAAGCCCAGCGGGTCGAAGAAGCTATTGAGCTACTTGAAAACATTGTAGTTATACGAAATAAAACGCTCCCAGAGGATGACCATGCTCGACTTTCCTCTCAGCATGTGCTCGGCGAGGCGTACCTTGAAGCACACCGGATCAGAGAAGCTATTGAACTGTTTGAGCACGTTGTTGCCGTTGAAAAAGGACTAGACATGAGCGACAACGACAGGTCTGTATCACAAGATTGGCTAAGAGAAGCAAAGAGCATGCTTGATATCTAATCTATGATATTTGCCTGTAGTGCTGACGATAGTCATAAGCAGCACAGCGATTATGTCGTGTTTTAGTCATCATAGTCAAGCCTATATGCCTTCCCGCCGTCCGAATACACTATGCCAGGCGATAAAATGTGCACACTAGCACAATTTATGCTCCTTCTCGTGGGGACCGTTTAATATAGAGCCGCCCGAATAGGTAGCATAGTGCCATATTTAATTGCAATTGTATCTGAAGTTCCAACCGAGTTTGATTTCATCACTATTGACTTGATTGAAGCTGGAAGCTCCGCGGAGTTATTATCAAGCAAGGCTACACTGTCACTGTCAAGACGCACTGCGTGCGACATGTGGGACTTGAATAGAACATATACTGCAGCCTGCGATAGCAACCTAGCGCCAAAGATCCCTTTTGCCAATTATCTATCCTCGCAAGGTGAACTCTCTTCGAATGAAACATAATTGCTATGCTACATCTAACAGCACCTGCCAGGGCCTCCTAGCTGTTGTGCATACAGCGTATCACGACGGCAATTTACATCAATCGGTTGGTTAGCTCAGTTGGTTAGAGCGTCGTATGTCTCCTCCCAGCACTCAATTATTCGGCACCCGCTAACCCGCCCCAGGTACTAATACAGGATCACACTTGTATCAGGTAATGCGAAGGTCATGAGTTCGACCCTCATACTGACCATTAAGTTTTTGATATTTTTGCCTTATAATTACTCTATGCGACCTTGAGCTATCCTGGCGATCCCTCGCGGAGTGCGATGTGTGGTCGGGCGAGAGGAGGTGTAGAATTTAAAGGGGGGCGAGGAGCTACATATCTCCCGGAACATATTGCCATGTTTTTGAAGATATGACGAATCATTTAAGTCACTTGATCCTAGCTTGCTCTATTAGGCACATGCCTAGATGCTAGTACAGACTTACTTACTTGCATATTACAGAAAATATCGTGTACGGTTGTTTTCGATTACTAGACTTGATTAATACGCTGTGATTATTATTTGTGATTTATTCTGCGAGTACCGCGAAGCTTGAGTCTTAAATCATTTTCCGTGTTTGACATCCCATTACCGCACCCGTTATCAAAGAGGGCAGTGTTGAGATCTTAGACTTGTCGTGCCTGGAGCTTCAGCAATAATCGTCTCGTAATACTCCATCGACAGTACGAATTATTGTGAAAGTTGATCAAAAACATTGCTCTAGGCTTGATGTCCTTCTTCATGATTAACGATTTGGATTAACTATTGAAGAGCTTGCTCTATCTCATCTGACGTGAAGCTAAGCGAATCATGCTGATATCTGTAGCACAAGACATTTTTCGGTTCATCGCATTCCTCGGTGACGGTGTTTCGTGTTTAGCGCTTAGAACAAACTTCGGTCCCTTTCTGTCTCCGACTCTTACTCCTTTCGTTAATTTTAGCATGAATCTTAGTTTGAATGACGTTGGCGCGTGATGAGCCCTGCTCCATGCCCGAGATCAGATCTTTCCCACGTGCTTCAAGCCGAACGGAGAAATGAATCATGTTCTACCAGTGCCGAGACAGGTAGTCATTTCGCAGACATGTGTTAGTCTTTGCGTAAAACACGGCTACTGGATGATCAAGGAGTAGCGCGAGTCTCTTGAGAAAATAACCTTCAGCGTCGAACACAATCCAAAATCCGAGCTTGATGTCAATCATTGCGGTTTGCGGTGCCCATCTGCGAACCCAACCCGCCAATGCCAACTATGAAGCAAAGGCATATAATTCCTCAGATCATTCCCATTACGTAGTTGGATCGTTGGGGAATTGGTGCCCCAAAATGCATGAGCGTGTTCATCGTGACTCGCAAGATGAAGAATAAGTCCGAGGTGCGGATCCTCGCTATTAGAAACTATGGTTAATTACGGTCATGTTTTGAAAGTTTCGTCTCTATGGTGTAGGGATTTTCGAGCTTGGTGGCCAAAGTAGACGCGAGACTCCTGCTTTTCGTGTCTGAGTGGCGAATGTCAACTTTCGAATAAATTGACAAGTGTAATGAATTGATATGCTGCTCGATTTGTCGAATAGCCGCCTCGGTATTAAACTGACGAGTAATATCTTGGCCCGAAAGAATCGTTGTGATATCGGAGCTCAAGCTAGCCACCTCGTCTCCTGACATGCTGGTACCATGGATTTAAAGAGGCGTGTGATACAGAATAAATCTCTCGCCTTAATATTTTAACTTTCAACATAGCGTTGAAGCAAGTTATGCCCTGCATTCCGGGATGTGTGCATTGACAACTGTAGACTCTAGAGGTATGTATAAAGAGAAGACCGACGGCCGCATGTAATAGACAGCCGGCGGTCTGCATTAATAAGAGATTTCTAGATATTGTCAGATGGGTCTCTCTCGTTATTATACATACCAAAGTACCGTAGTTTTGCATACAGATATTGAGGTGTTGAAATAGAAGCATCCAAGGCTGGAAGTTATAGTACCTCCAGGCTGTATCCGAAAACACACGTGACCCTTTCACAATACCTACCACTCGGAGAACAATCTTTCCTTATTGGACGCCACACTGTCGTGATCATGAATCCAAAATATAAGTCATATCTATCGATAAGACGTTATTGATCATACGGAATCTCTTTAAGTTGGAAAGCCGTGTGCATGATTCGAGCTGTTACTTTCAATAAAGTAAACAACTGTAACATGAGACGTGGTAGGAAAACGGGGTCCGTATAGAATTAAAATCGATTCACAGTTTGATTGTAATAAACAATAGTGAATCAAATCCATATAAATGTGTAAATAGTGCCTATTATGTTAGATAGTTAAGTCATGAATGGAAGTACGGAAGAGTGATACGACTCAGTAAATCAAGTGAGAAAGACATAGTTATATTACAATCACATTTAATAAAGATAGAGAATGACAAAAGAAAGATAATATAAGTGTGCAAAGAATAAAGAGAATAGAGATCGATTTATTTTACAGCGAACACAGGATTGATCCGAAGACTGAAAGAGAAAGCAGCCTTTAAAAAAATTAAGTGGTCAGTATGAGGGTCGAACTCATGACCTTCGCATTACTTGATACAGCAGAATTCTGTATTAGTACCTGTGGTTGGTTAGTGACGGTGAAGTTGAGAAGATTTGAACTGGAGGTGACATACGACGCTCTAACCAACTGAGCTAACCAACCGTTGGGATGCGGGTTGCCGGTTTCATTCGTTCTGAAGTAGGATGATTCACGCACGAGCAGTCAATCAAAGGGGTGGTGGGGTGATAATATGGAGTGCGGGGCTAATATTTGTTAGAAAGAGGGGCAAAACGGGCATCGCGGGGCATTGCAAAATGTTACTTAAACCACCGGCCCCAAGATCGGTGAAAATTCCACTCTCTACGGGGATCGGAGCTAAATAAACTCATCGATCTTGGCACACTCCTGCAATGCGATCTTCTAAAGGAGCCAGTCAGGACAACAAGGTCTGCAATAAGTTATGTAGAGATAGGCGTAGTGTGGCGCCAGGTGTCACTGCCTATCACTATCTCCTTGAGTAACACTTCGGCACCATGATTCAAAAGATAGAAAATGGGACATTGGGCCTAATTCGGATAGTCCAATCGGACTAGCATGTCCTGTAAGAGTAGAAAGTTGGTTGGATATATCTGGTTAGATGTATCTAGTCCCCTTGCTTCCACTCTGAATTCACGGTGCTGAAGCGGCGCTCAAGAAGATGACAAGAAGTAAAACTAAGAGAATTCAAAGAGAAAGAAGGCAAAAAGAGAGTTATTCTGGTCAGTATGGGGGTCGAACCCATGACCTTCGCATTACTTGATACAGTGAGAATCCTGTATTAGTACCTGGAGCATGTTAGCCACTAATATTGATCGATGGGTGGTGGGAAGGAAGACATACGACGCTCTAACCAACTGAGCTAACCGACCAATCACGATGGTTACCGAAAGATTCTTCTCACGCCATATACGTTGTACATTTCACTCTCGTCGAAAATTCCCTCAGTTGATCAGGCGGGATGAAGGGCCCCTACGAGTCATGACCCCTTTCACCAGCTTCACTTAATTTTAATAGCTACTTTCAAAAGTCATAATTTCTAGTTCTTCCATTATTCCTTCAATACTACCACAATTAGATCAATTCTCGATCAGCAGACCCCCAATGTACCCAATATCCCATTTTGCTACCTTTAGGTTTGGCTAGGATAGAAACTCAGGCGGTTGTCTAATTCATTCATTTTGCTAGTGTCTAATAGTCCGTACCCCAAGGTTGCATCTTGGAGTTATCGTTACTTCGAAGTACCGTTCGTAAAAAAAAAACAACCTGTCTGTGCACCCTTGTATAGAGCACGCATGCGAACTTTGCATTAGGCATATAGAATCGCGCACATGAACAACTGAGGGGTCGTACATGACGTACGGCATGATGCGCACTGACCCCGACAAGACTATGATCAGGCGTATCCTGCTGTATAACTGTCTGTCAATGATATATAAAGAAGGACATGTTAGAGGGCAAATGTCAGAAGGATATATCACCATATGCCTCAAGGTACTTCGCATTTCTGCACTATAGTACGGCAAATAATGTTTTGGGGTAAATAAGACCGAACAACTCCTCTACTTATGAAGGAGAGGTTCCAGAACCAACATCATTGAGCAACACAGAGCACTTCCTGCTACCCATTAGTGATCTTATCCTCGCTCCGGAGAGCTCCTTCTGACAGCATACCTTTCATGAAGCAATTTTTGTTCTCGTGGCACATTAATTAAACCCATAACATCTTAATTGCCATCCGCATCAAGGCAAGATGAGCGACACAAATTCTGATAACTCGGAAAGATATCGCCTAGGGAGAACTTATGCTGCTTCCTCGAGGTATTTCCCTAGAGCACCAACTGCGCGTTGTGATGGAAGTTGTTAACAGCACCTGAGGTTGAATCTACAACACTTCCTGTGGAAAAATGCCCAGGGCTTCTTGTTACACCCAGTGATTCAGGCTCAGTTACGCGATCGACACGAGCAAAGCTCAAACAGTGGCGATAATCCATTCTATCTCGCTGACCTAGCGACGGGAACAGGGTGAGTAAAACGTTACTGTCCAAACTAGGGATGGTACAGCCTTTGTTCATGAGCGGTATAGGATATGGTTATTTGACTTGGCCAAGTCGTCCGATTCTAGCGGTCTTAACATGCAATACCACGGCTTCGATATCAGCAGAGTTCTATTTCCGCACAACTCCTGGCTGCCAAACAACATAGTTCTATCCACATCAAACGTGCTGGCGCTGCCACCACAGTCTCTTCACGGGCAGTTCGATGTTGTGCATTTGCGTCTTGTCCTGCCCATTGTTCGTAGTGGCAGTCCGAAACCAATCATTCAGCATATCAAGATGCTTCTAAGTCTGCCTCGCCCTAGTGTATATACTAATTGATGCAATGTGCAAGTTAGCTAACGTTTCACTAGAACCCGGTGGTTACGTGCAGTGGGATGAGAGTAGGTATTCACAAGAGATTACTTGTTCTCCTGATGCCAGAACCCGAGGTTGGTTGAGGCCGCAGCCTTGCAGATCATCCTGCAATATTGAAGTATTACTCATAGAACACACTCGGATGAAAAACTAACTTTAATACTCACAGTTGATATATTCAATCACTATGACGTGGTAACTCCGGACCCAAACGTTGATGCCCCAAATATGACAGCTGCGTTTCAAAAAATCAAAGATCTTGCAGATTGGAGGTATAGTAAACCATCCAATTACGCAAAAGAAAAATATTCTGACATAGCTTGATCAAGCTGGATCAAGAGGCTTCCCCAGACACTAGCTGAAGAGGGCTTTGAGAAGGCAGTTCAGCATCATTATGAACCAGGCCCTGAGATGTTCATGGCATGGGCGCACATGAACCTGTGTACAGCAGAAGATCTCAGCTTAAATTGGTTTGATCAAGATGACGAGGAAGATGGCGAGGAATGGAGAAAACTCCTGCCGAAGGCCTGTGAGGAATCTGATGAGCCTATTAGAGCTGGGCACAACGCTCACCCAACTATTACAATTGCGATGAAGCCTTTGTAATATTGTATGTAGACAGAACTACGTAATTTCATGGATTCATACGCAATATTAGGACTCTTCCATTCATCAAATACTAGATCATTATATTAGCGCCTAGGAGATCTAGCTGAAGCTAAACAGCTAACCTATCTTTTATTCATACCAATGAAATCTTATTCTAGAGATTAACCTACTAATTATCATAGCGGCCTGATATAGGAATGATATTCCGGCTCTTGCAACTTAAAGAATCAGAAAGAAATTGCAAGCTTTGTGTCTGAATTGGCAACCGGATCATGACAGCAGCTTTCAGATTATTTACGTGGTTATCTATTACGAAAAGTGTTATGAGCCGGGCCAGATAAGTTTGCCGAACTTATATGATGATGCTGCCATGAAAATCACTTTAATCTAATTACAAGATTGTAGGCATAGAATGACTATGGCTTATATTGGGCCAAAACCAGAACAAAGCGAGACACGCTGTAGGCAAGGAGGCAGCGGCATCAGCAAATACACTACTCAAACAAACCGCGTTTAATTAGATGTTTTCTTGATTCTCAGTACGAAAGTGACATTCTAAGATAGAATAGTAGCTCTTGAAAGCGCGGTCTAATATTACCTATCATATTCGCGGATAAAACGATGAATAGAACAGAACACAAACACGAACATGATACCGACGGCAGAAATACGACGCAAGAGAGACAATTTACGAAAACTTGACAATGTGCAGGTTGGCACAATGGAATGCCGATAACGACTTGTTTCTCATAATAGAAGGATGCAATTGGTGTCCACTGCAAAGGAGCCTAGCAATGAGTGAGTTTAGCCATGTATGTTACGACTTGACACCACTATGGCGTCAAAAAGAAACCTCAGGATACACCAAAATAGGGGGCAATCCTTTAATCAACTTGTCTATTGTAGACATCTAGGGTTCGCTAATTATCAAGAAATCTAAATATAACTCGTAATATCTATGAGCAATAGATACTGCTTCTAAACTGTGCAGAGAACTGTCAAGGCTAGAGAACTTCTAATTACAGAAACGAAAGCTGATATCAGTGGCAACGAGATCCAGGTGTAACAAGATCTACAACGGCACGGGGCTTGATGGTAAACAGTGGCACCGCACCTTGAACGAATGCTATTCTGCGAACCAACGCCCATTGCAAAATTATTGCCCTCATACAGTCTCGTATTCGAGATCTGAGCAGTCACCGTATCAAAAGCGATGTGGCCATAACCCTGCTGCCAACAACGCCGTTTCCAATACTGCATCTGTTGCGATTCCTATTTTCGTCGTTGCGGAAGTACCGCCGGATTCCACATTCAAGCGACAATTAATTAATGAATCGCCTCCTAACGCCGCTATGCCCGGCGAGGGAGTTGGATAGGTAGACGAAAGCACTACCTACCTAGCTGTGGACACAACGCCTCGCCGCACTAAGCTGGCTGCTGCCCCCATCCTGACACGGCACAGCAGGAAATTTGTATGTATGTATGCGGGCAGTGCTGTGTTTCGGATATTTAGCTTGCGTTACCTACCTACCTACCTAGGGACTTTTGCGCGCGCGTGTCCTCGCGAAATTGCCACTTCATTACGTCCTATTTGTTGCCTGATCTAGGCAGTTTAGGTATCACAAATAACAAGGCGGCGGATGATGTTATACAACATCCGCCGCGGCGGACGAAGTGAAGGTAACGTGTGCCTGTAATTAGTTGCATACAATGCCTACCTACCTACCTATCTCCTAATACGTGCGTCCTTGTCTGCACTCGATAGCCTATAGGTGATGTCACGAGAAAAACGTGAAACATGAAACATTTTCTGAAAATAGGTTCATTGTCATGACTTTCCGGGCTCGCGTGTGTTTTAGCTTCATGCACAGCGCGTGAAACATGTCTGGCTGTCAGTCTACGCTATGTAATTATAGTCACCGCGTGTGCGTGTGCGGATGCGGTGCGCATTCGCGTTCTCCGCGTCAGTCCGGAGTTGTGGTTCGTGGCTTCTCTCGGCTGCGCGAGCGGCATAATCTCACATACTCGATAGGCATCTCCGGCTGGCTTGCTGCACCTTGAGATGATGGGTAGGTAGTTGATTTGAGATCCTGTGGTAAGGGTAAGGCAAGGCGAGACGAGGCGAGCGTCTGCTGCTACCTGCCCAACTGGGGCGCGTCATCGCTCTCGGCATATAATGCTAGTCAGAACCATGTCAGAGATCATGCCACACACAGCCTTGTTTGTTTCAGAGGCTCTCTGGTGTTTCTATTCTTGTTCACAGAGTGCGCGATCTACAGAAAAAAGTGGTGTAAGAGCTGCTGAGTATTACAGAAGCTAGCTAGCTGGACAGATAGCCGATCGATAACAGTAAATAATCTGGAGCTATCGTCGCACGGCAGATCGTAAGCCAAGCCGCAATGCCGATCCCATGGCCGACTGGAGCTACCTACATAATAATCTCAATACCTAAGGCCGGGATTTGCTGTGACGTAGCATCCAATGTGGTTCTTGTTTTGTTTCGTCTGCACACGCGCGGGCTTACCTGACTAACTGCCACCTTAGCTAGGCTGCTATTATCTAGCAATTCTCTTCCTGTATGTACAATACAAAGCGCCATCTTCGGTACATGATCTCGCCTATCCTAGCTTCGGGTAAGGCTTCGAGCATGTACCATGCTAAGCTGTGAAGAGAGCTTCTAGGCGTGGGGTGAATCCATTCGGGAAATTGATACACACGAAATATACTAACTTGGGACATTGCCATTATTAGAACTTTGTAACATTAGCGAACGTTTCTTGTGGGTTACGCCGTATTGGCGTGCTGTTACACGACAGAGTACGATAACTCGAGGAGAAACAGTGGCTCAA